TTACTTTGTAGAGTAATTTACAACAGCTTCGAACGTGGCTCAGCCAATCAGAATCGAGGACCGGAACTCTCCGTTTTGTAAACATGGTTACTATAGTTAAACCATGGCAACCACAAATTAACCATAGTTTTGCAACACTAACAATAGTTTAACCATGATATTTGTAGTAAAACTGCTGTTATAGAAATGGTAATGTTAATACACTTTTACTACAATAAAACCATGGTTAATTTTCGTGTCCAAACCAGACTCGATGGGAAAACGGTTTCTATTTTGGTGACATTCCAGCTGGAACAAAAACTCTGACAATGCTCTCAGTACTGAATGCCTAGCTAACAAAAAAAAGTTCAGCGAATGTTTTGCTAACATTCCCATAAACTTTATGTTTTTCAAATGTTCAAAACTCCCAGTTTTTTTAATGCATTAAGAACGTTTCTTCTTGGTTTATTCTTAACGTTTATTCTATAATGTAAATATTATGATAATATTACATTTGAATGTTCTCTTAACATTTAAAGCACTATTGTTTAATATTTAAAGATGTTTTCTTCTTGGTTATGCGAACGTTAGAGGAACATGCCATTTTATGAATTTGTTTTTTCTGAAGGTTTTTAAAATATTCACTTTGATGAATGTATTAAATTAGTAACTTTGATAGTAGAAAAATTGGCAATGAATTATTCAATTGTGTGTGTGTGTGTGTGTGTGTGTGTGTGTGTGTGGTATAACCCACAGGAACAGTGGTTAGACAGATATTGAGACTGAAGGTGGAATCGGATCAGAATGTGAATGATCCCGATGTAAAGGCTGCAATCCTCGAGGAGGTGAGACATTTAATCTTCAACTTTAACATTTACAAAATCAAGACTAACGATGCTGATCAGCGACTCAAATTAATCTGTGATTCTTTTATTGGTGAATCTTTTATTTACTGCGCTGAAAAAAAATGTGGTGTAGAAACAATTTTCACTCAGAAAATGCTAGTAAATTTCACAAACGTGAAGAGAACCTAAAGTCTTTCTACTTCAAAATTCCACATTTAATTCAGTTTGTTACTTGCCATTTCTATGTAAATATTTGTAAAGTTTACTAGCAATTTTGAAGTGTGTATCTTATCAATCCGTGCTACATACAAATATTTTTCTTAAACAAGTTACATTCAAACATGGTAAGGCATGTTTATGAAGACCAGCAGACATACTGTAAGCACTAAATTAACAAATCTGTGTTTTCTTCCCCTCAGATTAAGCAGAAATTAATATCTCAGGGAATTTCAGTGCATGCAAATCTGCAATGGAAGCAGCAAGCAAATGGAGACGTCTTCCAGAGAGAAGAGAAGATGAGAGAGGAGTTATAAGATCTCTAACATGAGATCACAGATCATCACTTTCTCGCCCATCATTATAGGGCAGGTTTATCTGAAATAGACAATAATGGATTGAATCAATGTGGAAAAAATTTAAAATGTCTCGACTTTTAATCACTATATTTAAAGTCCACTGTAAAAAATGACTGTAACTTTAATGTTAAAACACTGTAAAATGCTACAGTAAAAATCTGTTAATTGCCCCTTACTGAACAAAAACTGTAAGAAAACTATGTTTAAGCTTTGTAAAGTCTAAATCTAAGCATCCCCTCCATCTCTCCGTGGCTCTGAGCCAAAACCTATTGAGCTGCCTGTTTATTTAAAGGGCATCATGGTGCTCCTGATGGAAAAGCTGTTCTCAAAACTGGGTGGCAAAGATGAAGTTTAGATGTAGATTTGGGGTGAGATTGAGGACATGGAATTGGGCTACTTTTAAACTGTTGCCATGGATTGATTTTCCCAAGTGGGTTAAAGGTTTGAAATGTTGCATAAATTACATTTGACTGAAATGCTTGTATTGAAACATTTTGCATTCCATCTACGATAAAACAGCGCTAGATGTAAGTTTTGTGAAGGAGGGCCACTGGTAGGAAGCCTTTGAGCTGTGTTTATGATCAATGTGCATAACAGTGACTGTAAAATATGTATTTTAGGTATGGAAATAACATATTTTGAGTGTTGATTTTTGGGATATGGTCATTGCGCTACTTTGGGCACTACTTTAACCACCAACCTAAAAAGTGCTATAATAATGCTGAGAAATGTATGTTTCAATTGTGAAATCATGAATGTACCAACACAAAAAAAATAAAAATATGAAATTATAAAATGTGTACTTTGCCATGACAAAGAATAAATTTAAATAGATATACAGCATACTACGTTATTTGAGTGGTGAGGGCCTAAAAGTTAAGAAATGTAAGTATGCAAGTGAGAGTTGAAAAAGCAAGAGTTAAAAAAGGTAAATAAATAGCTAAATATGATAAATGCATGTATTATTTAAACATTTAAATTGTTAAAAAAAAATGCAGTAAAAAAAAACACCAATCAGACGGCGAATACGATATTGCGGATGTTCACACACCAATCAGATTAAGCGCTGTTTTAAATCGCTCCGCCCACCGACGCGGAAAGTTCGAGTTCAGTTCAGTCAGAACTTGAAAGAGCTACAACTGTTGAACAGGAGACTGCTACAGATCGAGCGATAGAAATTAAGAGTGTAAATTAGCTGTTGGAACTGACTGACCTCGCCTTGATTTGTCGTTTTTGATCCGATAATCCTGTAAGATCACTCGGATATAACGAACCAAACGCCGCATCCGTTGAAGCTCATTTAACATTGATAGTTTTACCATTGACAAAATATAGTTAACATTAAATATACATGCCTAAGCCTAATCATTTTTACAAATACATATGGTAAACTAAAAAGAATAATTCTCACAAAGATGCATTCTATGTTCTCGCGTCCTTCTGAGTTCGTTCTTTCAAGGAAGCCTGGCAAGACCGGTCTCCACGAGAACACAAGTCCGTTCTTTGCGTTCTTGGAATTGAGAAACAGCCATACATCGCTCAGCCCTAAATATAATTTTCATCTGACATCCATCTGAAATCCAGAGCTTCACAGAATGTCTAGCAGGGTTTCAAAGATCAAGGATAACAGGTGTTACGAAAGGAACAGAGGAAGCGTGCGGATCCATATGCAGAGCTTTATTCAAAGGCATGGTCACAAACAGGCATGGGTCAATAATCAGCAAACAGTCATGAATTAGGCAAGACAAAGAGTATTCCTAGGGCAGGCGTGGTTCATCGATCGGCGAACAAAATCCAGAGGGCTTGACAAAAGGGGTAACCTGTAAACACGAGCAATAGTTCAGGCTGGGGCAAACAGTATCCAAGGCAGGGTCAGGCAAACGGGTAATCCAGGATACACAGGCGAGAATCAAAGGACCGGAAAACAGACAAGGCAAAACTAGACTGAGACTAGGACTTGGAAAATAAACAATGGCTAAAGAACAGGCTCCGTAGTGTAGCTGCACGAAGACAGCAATAATGCTAACAATACTCGGCAGTGAGAGAGAGGAAGCTGTGTGTCTAATCAGTGCAATGGATGCTGGGATATGTAGTCCGGGATGACATGCAACAGTTTGTGTAGAGTGAGAGTCAATGTAACGAAAGGGTGACTTCTGGTGGCAATCGGACAGAAGTCCATGGACAGGATTCGTGAAATAAGGGAATTTGTAATAGCGTTTTTGATAGTTTGGTTACTGTTATGAGAACGTGTGACAGAAGGGATATTGATAGAGTGTGCATGAAGTTTTCTGTCAGAAGACTATTTTTACAAAAATTAACCGTGGTTTTATTATAGTAAAAGTGTAGTAACCATAGTTTTTGATGAATTGATTACTATTTGTATAACCACAGTTTCACTGTGGATACCATGGTTAAACTATGGTTAGTGTAGCAAAATCATGGTTAATTTGTAGTTAGAATAGTTTTACTACAATAACCATGTTTTATTTATAAACACCATTTATTGTTATGAAAACACCCCAAATCTCATGAAAAATACAAGCAAGTCATACACTATCGTAATCATGTGTATGTTATGTTTAATGCGTAAAATGAATATAAATGATTATTCTCTCTAAAGAAATATGAAGTAAATGTGTAATATCAATATTTTAAGAGCCCTAATGGATGCTGTTGACCATGAAGAACCAATAAGGGAGCGAATGTAAGCAGTCACGCCTTCACTTTCAGAAGTCTCCGTTTTGGTCCATCAACACTGAAATGCAACCCCAGAGTTTTTAAACTACAACAGGGTCTGCAGCGTTTCCAAAAGTCTCAGTTTTCGAGGGTTGAAAACTCTGGAGTAGTGTGGAAGCCAGGTGTAATTTTAGCAAAAGTTATGCAGTTTAAAATGAAAATGCACAAGTTTAAACCTTACAGAGTGCCCGTTTCAGGGTAAATGTCTCGATGTGTCCAAATGTGTTTTTATTAAGTTATAAATCAGGGGTCTCCAAAACTGTTCCTGAAGGCCACTGTCCTGCAGAGTTTAGTTTTAACTCCTAATTAAACGAACCTGAAGCAGATCAACAAGGTGTTCCGGATTACTAGAAACTTTCAGGCAATTGTTTTAGAGCTAAACTCTGCAGGATCCTGACTCTCCAGGAGCAGGATTGGACACCCTTTTGGAAGTTTAACATGAATGTTTAATCAATTGAAGTGTTCGAAATCATTACAGATGCTTTTTGCAGTTAGTGTGGATGACAAGCAGCAGCAAAAACTCGAGAGAATGAGCTCCAACATGTTCACTTTCTAACTTTTCAGAGTCTATGGTTATAATGCCACTTAGTGGCAGCAAAGTATTATTCTGTAAGATATGTTTACATTTATCTATGTTTATCTACTGTCAGTAAATCATGTGACTCTGTGTCCAACTCTGAGACGGTCAGATGTTCTTCCATTGAAGCTCAGAATGCTGTTTGGATCATTATGATAGTCAGGTTTAGTTCATGAGGCTCTGGTGCTGAAATGTAATATGGAATAATTTATTAAATTAGAAAAGAATGCCAAATCAAAATGTTTTTACTAGTGGTGCCAGACTTTGAGTTTTACATTATCATTCTTTTAATGACAGTATACCATATGCTATTATATAACTGAAGGTGTTGTCAAAAAAGTGAATAACAAATGAATGCATTGCCAAATACTGAAGAGGTCATGCTTCATGTTTTTGAGCACCAGTTGGCAGCACCATGATTTACTTTCTGAATTGTTGGTCATTTTTATAATAACCAACCAGAACTAATTGACCCTTGGTGTGTACTGACATCTTTCCGTGGCTGAAACAAGATTCCTTCTGGTGTTCATTCATGTTTATTTTCTGCTATACTGCCATGCAAAGGCAAAAGACCGTAACTTCGATTTTTGTCAAAAATTAGTTATTGATATTTTTGGGACATTCAAGACTTCATTTATCATGTGTATAAGTATCTTGAGTCAATTTTGTTGTTTTTCAGAGAAAATATTGGGTCGTCTCATAACTTCGAAAAGCCCCAGAATTAGATAGATCGCGATCTACCAAACAGCTCCATATAACAAAGCACTGTAAAGACTAGATACCTTGGCAGCAAAATGTAATCGTGAATAACCTTTAAATGTTTTTTTTTTTCCCTTTTGTAATGCAGATTATTCACCAGGCTGTCACTTCTAATTGATGTCACTTCTAGCTGGACGCGTGTGGACTCGAATGCCGTAGCTAGCATGATAAATCATACCTTGGCAGCAATAGGCCTTCGTAATCGTAAATAACCTTTAAAGATTTTTTTTTTTTTCTTTTTGTAATGCAGATTATTCACCAGGCTGTCACTTCTAGTTGGACGCGTGTGGACTCGAATACCGTAGCTAGCATGATCAATCATAAAATCATTAGCCTACTAACATTTCGCAATTAAATCCATATCCTACCTTTTCTTGTAACCCGATAAAATCAATCCATGGCGATGAACGTCATCGGAGATGTTTAATCCACAAGCATCATGCTTGCTGGCGTTCACATCAATCCACAAGTCGTTCTTTGAGGTTAGGCTATTTCATACAAGTCAACGTATAAGCAATATGCTTTGTCTAGCATTGTTACGGTAAAAAAAAAAAAATAAATAAACATTAATACAGTCACATTACAATATGCAATAGCCTATATGAGATAGCCCATGATCACTAGATTGTATACAGGTGTTACTATAACGATTTTGTAAATGATTATGATGATGATCATGATGATGATAAACGATGATCAGCAACCAAATATTGATAATGTGGAAGTTACTGCCTTTAGCCTTGGTGTGACTTCTCATGTTTTGCAGACAATGCAAAGGCAGAGTACATTAACTTCAAAACAGGGGTAAAAATCAAGTTTGAGCTCACAATTTTTTAATGTAAATCATTTTCATTACTAAAACGTCTAATTGCCAAATTTCCAGACTGGACGAGTAAAAAACTTTAAAGTCATTTTTCTCAGTTTCACACTCTAGCGAGTTAAGGTCTTTTGCCTTTGTAGGGCAGTATAGCAAAGAGGAAGAGATTATCGGTTCATGTGCCACTTGAGCTGAGAGAAAAAGAGGGAAAAAAGTATTTTGGGGTTCCCATTATTACTCAGTACTTTTATTTTTCCAGTCTGTCACAGAGGCGCTACAGTGATCTCTCATGACACATAAAAGAGCCACAAAACGCTATTTATTGTTTGAGTTTCTTTAAAAAATTACAAAATTTGAAAGCAGAGACTTTGTTTCATACCTAAAGTAACCTGCTCTGTCTTGTCTTGTCTGTCGTTGTTAGTGTCCTCTTTGCTCAGCAATGTAGTTTTTACTGTATTTTTCACTCATGATATGTGACATGAGAGCACTCGTGCTGCGTGTATGTTTCCTGATTCCCCTGTGTTCTCTCCAGTTCGGATATAATAAAGACTGTGAATATTGCAACTCATTCGTCTCCTTGCTCCATCATTCCGCCACAGCAGCATAACCGTGACAGAAAACAGCACCTAGGACAGTAAGCGGTTCCCCCTCTCCCCGTGTTTGTTTTCCATTTTTAAAAGTGTTTTGGTTTTCCGTTTGTTTTCCCCTCGAGATCATGGAAATCGCTGCTCGTTTCTCCGCCTTAGTCTGCCGAGATCTCCCCTTCTTCGAGTACGCCTGGGAATTCTGTGGGCTCGCCGCGGCGACAGCATTGGATGACGCCACCATCAATTCTCTGTTGTGGCTCGGGGCCAACTATCATCGACCTCCC